GCTCCATCATCATAGTGCCCTTCCTATCCTGACGACCTCCTCCCCATCACAACCTCCTCCCTATCACGAGGCCTCCTCTCTATTGCAACAGCCCCTCCCTTATCCCAATGGCCCCTCCTATCGTGACAATGCTCTCCCTATCGTGATGGCCGCTGACCATAGAAGAAGTAGCAGAGCAGGGCGCGCAGGTCACGGTTGTCTGTCAGCCGCGCCACGGCCTCGCTGTGGCTGGTGGCCGCCATGCGGAACACGGGTGAGATGCAGTAGATGAGGCCAGTGCGGACCAGGAGCGCGGCCAAGCACCGCGGCACCATCTTCAGCACCGCCAGCAGCGCCACGTGCCGCGAGGCCACCTGCACCGGGACAGCCCGCGCCCAGCACCCAGCGCCACCCGGGTCACCACCGTGCTGCCACCGCGGCCGCAGCGCTCCCAAAGCCCCTTCCACGCTGTGACCATCACCAGTGTCCGCAGTGTTGCTGATACCCCTTCACCACCACGACCATCATTTTGTCCCCAGTTTGACTACGCCTGTGTCCCCACCATCCCTGTCGGTTCTGTCCCGTACCGTCACTATCACCCATGTCTCCACCACCCCATCACTTTATCCCTTCCATGCCCATCACCCTTGTCCCCAGCACTCTCACTGCCCCTTCCGCACCATGCCCAGCCGTCACCCTCCTCTCTACCACATCCTCCCCATCACCATCCCCGCACCCACATCCCAAGCTGACCATTCCCAGCCCCACACCCCAGATCCCCCCACCTTGGAGAGCCTCATGAACTCCCTGATGGCCGCCTTCTCCTCTGGGAACTGCTCCTCCAGCGCGGCGGCAAAGGCGGTTTTGCCAGCACGGAGCTGGTAACACCGTGGGCCCAGGGTCACCTCATCATAGGGGTCGGGCAGGCGCTGCCAGCAGAGCTGCCCATCCGTGAGCTGGTCCAGCGCCACGCGCAGCATGCTGCCTGCGTGCATCTGCCCCACATAGTGGATGCCTGTGGGGACATCAGGGACATGGGGATGTGGGGACATGCAGCCAGAGCCGCCGTGCTGCATGCAGAGTGTGTGCATGCGTGTTGCATGCAGACATGTTGCACACACAGACATGTTGCCTGCACACATAGAATGATAGCATCAACCAGGCTGGAAAAGACCTTTAAGATCATCAAGGCCAACCTTTACCCCGGTAAAGTGCCAAAGCCACCAATAAGCCATGGGCACACACTGCCTGCTCACCCGCGCACGCTATCTACACACAGACACACACTGCCTGCACACAGACACACGCTACCTGTGCACACTGAGTCTGCCTGCACGCACCGACACACACTGCACAGATGGGCACACGCTGGCAGTGAGCGCTGGGTGGTGGCACCCGGGGGTCAGGGGTACTGGGGTCTTTGATAACGGGGTTTGGGGGCACCGGGGGGATCCTCACCTACATCGAACTCGCAGCCCCGCTCCTGGAAGCTGTGGCAGCACCCACCGGCCTGGTCATGCTGCTCCAGCACCAGCACCCTCTTGCCCACCTTGGCCAAGGTGCCCGCGGCTGCCAGGCCCCCGATGCCACTGCCGATGACCACAGCATCCAGCACCGGTGGCACCCGCCGGGTGCTGAACCCTGCACACATGGACACACGGAAACACACATGAACACACGGACAGACACATGGACACATGAACGCACGGACAGATGGACACACAGACACACAGGCAGCGTGTGCCCAGCACTCACCCTGCTTCAGCACCTTGTCCCGGGCGCCCTGGTCGGTCACCAGCGGCCGGGGGGGTTCCAGGGGGGGCTGTGAGAAGGGGTTGCCAGAGGGGGCCAGCAGCCGATGGGCCACCAGCACCAGCCCCAGAGCACCCAGTGCCAGCAGCAGCAGCAGCGTGAGCCACATCCTGCACCCACCGCGGCACCAGCCCCGAGGTGACACCGAGTCACCGGCAGCGCGTGGCGGGGGCACGGAGGTTTATAGACACGATTACGACACGCGACCTCAGAGCACCGCGGCTTAAAGCCACAGGAGCTTATGGACGTAGCTCCCTATGGCCAGGGGAACCCATGGTCATGGTACCCTACAGCCACACCATCCTACGGCCGGTGCAGTCTATGGCCACTGCACCTATGGTCATGGTACCCTACGGCTGTGGTACCCCATGGGTGCAACACCCTATCACCATGGTGGTCTACAGCTACGGCATTTCTCATGCACAGATGAGGGTCCCATGGACACGTGCCCCTCATTTATACCTTGGTGTTGGTGCCAGGCCCCAAGGGGGCACAGTGTGGGCACATGTATGTATATACACATACATGTATGTATGCACACACATGGGTGTGTGGTGCTGCTGCACACACATGTGAGAGGTGGAGAGGTGTGTGGTGGTGGTGGACACGCCTGTGCACAGTCACACGTGTGCAAGGGAGCATGAGTACACTGGCACTTGTGCAGGCAAACAACATGCACACCCACAGACATACACACATCCGTACACACACACCTATAGGCACCCATTGTGCACACACACCCATAGACATCCCCTGTGCACACACCCCCATAGACACCCCTCTGCAAAGACACCCATAGCCACCCATTGTGCACACACCCCCCATAGACACCCATTGTGCACACACGCCCATAGGCACCCATTGTGCACACACCCCTGTAGGCACCCACTGCACACACACCCCCACAGGCACCCATTGTGCACAGACCCCCATAGACACCCATTGTGCACACACCCCCACAGACACCCATTGTGCACACACCCCCATAGATACCCATTGTGCACACACGCCCATAGACACCCATTGTGCAACCACCCCTGTAGGCACCCATTGTGCACACACCCCCACAGGCACCCATTGTGCACACACCCCCATAGACACCCATTGTGCACCCACCCCTGTAGGCACCCATTGTGCACACACCCCCATAGACACCCATTGTGCACACACCCCCACAGGCACCCATTGTGCACACACCCCCACAGGCACCCATTGTGCACAGACCCCCATAGACACCCATTGTGCACACACCCCCATAGGCACCCATTGTGCACACACCCCCACAGACACCCATTGTGCACAGACCCCCATAGACACCCATTGTGCACACACACCCATAGACACCCATTGTGCACACACCCCCACAGGCACCCATTGGGCACACACCCCCACAGGCACCCATTGTGCACACACCCCCACAGACACCCATTGTGCACACACCCCCATAGACACCCATTGGGCACACACCCCCACAGACACCCATTGTGCACACACCCCCATAGACACCCATTGGGCACACACGCCCATAGACACCCATTGTGCACACACCCCCATAGGCACCCATTGTGCACCCACCCCTGTAGGCACCCACTGCACACACACCCCCACAGGCACCCATTGTGCACAGACCCCCATAGACACCCATTGTGCACACACACCCATAGACACCCATTGTGCACACACCCCCACAGGCACCCATTGGGCACACACCCCCACAGGCACCCATTGTGCACATACCCCCACAGACACCCATTGTGCACACACCCCCACAGACACCCATTGTGCACACACCCCCACAGGCACCCATTGGGCACACACCCCCATAGACACCCATTGTGCACACACCCCCATAGACACCCATTGGGCACACACGCCCATAGACACCCATTGTGCACACACCCCCATAGGCACCCATTGTGCACCCACCCCTGTAGGCACCCACTGCACACACACCCCCACAGGCACCCATTGTGCACAGACCCCCATAGACACCCATTGTGCACACACCCCCACAGACACCCATTGTGCACACACGCCCATAGACACCCATTGTGCACCCACCCCTGTAGGCACCCATTGTGCACAGACACCCATAGACACCCATTGTGCACAGACCCCCACAGGCACCCATTGTGCACAGACCCCCACAGGCACCCATTGGGCACACACCCCCACAGACACCCATTGTGCACACACCCCCACAGACACCCATTGTGCACACACCCCCAAAGGCACCCATTGGGCACACACCCCCACAGGCACCCATTGTGCACACACCCCCATAGGCACCCATTGTGCACACACCCCCAAAGGCACCCATTGTGCACACACACCCATAGACACCCATTGTGCACACTCGCCCTTAGACACCCATTGTGCACACACCCCCAAAGGCACCCATTGTGCACACACCCCCACAGGCACCCATTGTGCACACTCGCCCATAGACACCCATTGTGCACACACCCCCATAGACACCCATTGTGCACACACCCCCATAGACACCCATTGTGCACACACCCCCAAAGGCACCCATTGTGCACACACCCCCAAAGGCACCCATTGGGCACACACCCCCATAGACACCCATTGTGCACACACCCCCATAGACACCCATTGTGCACACACCCCCAAAGGCACCCATTGTGCACACACCCCCAAAGGCACCCATTGTGCACACACCCCCATAGACACCCATTGTGCACACACCCCCACAGGCACCCATTGTGCACACACCCCCACAGACACCCATTGTGCACACACCCCCACAGACACCCCCTCTGCACACCCATAGACACTTCCCACCCCCCCGCGCTGGTGTCTGAGCTCTGCTGACCTCTTCCGGCAGCACCAAGGAAGAGCCCACGTGTGCAGTGACACATGTACACGCATGTACAGACATGTATAGACGTGTAGAGACATGTACAGACATGGGAGAGGGTGAGGGTGGGCTGAGGTGACAGCTGTGACACGCGTGACACTGTGTGTGCTCCCTGTGCTGACCAAGGCCCGCACGGATGCAGCCGGATGGGAACAACCGCAGCTTCACCCTCCTTTAATAGAAGTCACAGCAAATCCCAAAAGGAGCCCCCGGGAATGGGACAGGGATGGGGATGGCCGGGGGGGGGGGCACACATATGTGCACACACCTGCATGTGTGAGCCCTGTGCTCCCCATGGCACGCCATGGCAGCTCCAGGGTTAATGGGAGTTGGGGGGGGGGCTGGTGGTGTTATTGCTACCTGGGAGGGGCAATGGGGGGCACCAGGGAGAGGGGGGTCCCCCCACCCTTGTAAGGGTGAAATGGGATCCCTGGGAGGGGGAGCTGGGAGGCCTGGGCCCATGGCAGCTCATGGGGCTGCAGTGGGGTGTGACTCCCCCTCATCCCCCAACTCTGGGCTTCCCCATGGGGAAACTAAGGCAGGGGTTATGGGGTGCCCCACAGGTTGGGGGATGACACTGTGGGGAGGGGCAGGTTTGGCAGTGAATCAGCTGTGGGGTGCTGGGCACGGCTGGGGGAGCTGCCCCCATAATGGGACCCCACCGGCTTCTCCCCCCACTCCCCCCATGTCTGGGGCTGGGAGCAGGGGGGGAAAGAGGGGTCCAGAGGCTTGGGCAAGGGTCCCCCTTACTCCCCCCGTGCTGGTGCGAGCCCCTCACACCAATGGGTGACACGGAGGGCACAAGCGCCCCATGGGGCTGCGGGGTGCCTGGGGGGGCTCTAATAGACCCAACTGACGGGCACCCATTGGGGCTGCACCCGCAGGCGCTCCATGGCCTCGCGCAGCCGCCCGAAGGTGCGCTCCAGGTCATCGTTGGTGAGGCTGAGGTCGAAGTAGTGCCCGTACCCACGCTGGATGCGGCTGCTCTCCTCCACCGTGCGCCTGGCGTCGGCCTCCTGCGCGCATGGACCTGCCTCAGTCTCCCCATCCCTCCCCTTGTGCCCCCCATATACACACATAACCCCGGGGGGGGGCCCACCGTGAGCTGCTTTGTAGCCACCCCGCTCTCCAGTGCTGCCCGGTTCATGGCTCGCAGCATCTCAGGACTGGGGGCTTCGATGAACACCACGTATGGCACGAACTCAGCCGTTCTCAGCACCTTCACTGCCTGGGGGGACAGGACAGATCTGAGCCCCATGGTGCGCGCAGCCCCATCGCCCCCTTGGCAGGCTGGGGGGGTCCCGTACCTGGGGGTTGACATCCAGGATGCACATCTTGCCCGCCTCCACCACAGCGCGGATGGAGTCGATCTTGGTGCCGTAGAGGTTGCCCTCGTACTCGCCGTGCTCCAGGTATCGCCCGGCCTTGATGTCGGCCTCCATCTCCCCCCGCGACACGAAGCGGTACCCGAGCCCGTCCCGCTCGCTGTCCTTCGGCTTCCGCGACGTGTCTGTGCGGCATGGACCACTCACACCCACAGCACCCCCGGGCATGGGCTGCACCCACACAGGTGGGGATGGTGGCACTGTGGGGGGACAGGCATGCTCACAGGGGACAGGGATGCTCATGGGAACGATGAAGCTGGCAGGGGACACGGGTGCTCGGTGGTGACAGAGATGCTCATATGGAACAGGGATGCTCATGGGGATGATGAAGCTGGCAGGGGACAGGGATGCTCAGAGGGGACAGGGATGCCTGTGGAAATAACAATGGTGGCAGGGAACAGGGATGTTCAGAGGGGACAGGGATGCTCTTGGGGATGATGAAGCTGGCAGGGGACAGGGATGCTCGGAGGCCTGGGGGCACTCACAGGGGATGGTGGTGCCGTAGCGCGCCTGGTCGGACATGATGAGCTTGTTCTTGAGGCTGCGGCGCCCGACGCCCTGCGCCCCGATGAGCACCAGCGTTTTCCTGCGGAACGGCGGCATCCGCGCCACCTCCTCGTAGATGAGCAGCTCGTGACGGTCGAACTCTGGCGTGGGATGGGGCTGTCACCCACAGGGGACTCCGGGGTGCCCCGGCCCATGGGTGCCACCACCTGCCACCGGGGCCGCTCACCAGCGTTCTTGGTAGTCAGGTACATCATCCTCTTCTTCCTCTTCCCGCTGAGGCTGCCACACAGGGACCCTGCTGAGGGCAAGTGGGGCTGAGCTGGAGACAGGGACAGGGATGGGGCTGCAAGGGACAGAGCCATGGGACTGGGACCAGGGGCTGGGTCATGGGGACATGATCCTGGGAACTGGGGACCTGCCGAAGCGATGGGTACATCACCATGGGGACATCACTGTGGGGCATGGGGACCCTGCCATGGGGCGATGGGGACCTGCCGTGCCCCCCCGGCTCCGTACCGGCAGTGGGAGCTGTGTCCCCGTCCCTCCGCACGAAGGCTTTGCGCTTCTCCTCCAGCAGCTGACTGGGCACCAGCCCCGCGCTGCCCCCCGCCACATGGCACGCCTGGGGACAGGGCGCTGGTACCGGCACCACGGGCACCAAACATGGGACCCCCCAACCCATGAGGACACTGCGCTGGTACCGGCCCCACGGGCACTCAACCATGGGGACTCCCCAAATACGGGGACACCCCAACCCACAGGGACCCCCCCAGCTGCAAAAGAAACCTCAACTCCAGGTCCACCCGCCCCCAGTTTCCAGGAACCCCCCAAGCCCCAAATGAACCCCCCAGCTCCCAGGGACCAGCCCCAGTTTTGGGCACCCCCCCCCCCAAGCTCCACAAGGACCTCCCAGTTTCCAGACACCCCTTGACCTTCCAGTTACCCCCCATCCCCAAGACACACCACGACCCCCTGTGCACCCAGCTGCCAACAGTCCAGCACCACGTCCCCCCCTTACTCGCCCCTGACCTGCCACCAGTTGGGGTCATCCTGGTTGACGATCTGCAGCAGGTCCCCGGCCATGAACTTGAGCCCGGCCTCACGGCACGGGATGAGGGTGTCCGTGGCCGGGTCATAGTCGAAGTGACATTTGACATAGACCTGGGGGCCGGGGAGGCACCGGGATGCTGCCGGGATCGGTGCCATGCCCATGCCCACGCACACGCATACACACACACACACACGCACACACGCACACGCGTGTGCCCTGCGCTAGGTGCCCCCCCCCGCCCGCCGCAGCCAGGCACGCATGGCCCCCGCGCACACGCAGGCGGCTCCAGTGGCCACCACTGCTCCCCACAGGGCACCCAGAGCAGCCCCCACGCAGAGCCCCACGGCCACGCACAGGCACACGCATGCACCCAGCACCGCCAGCAGCGAGCCGGCGATGGCGCACATGTGTGCGGAGGCCGCGGCACACGCGTGTGTGAGCACACGGAACCCACGCAGCGCCGGCTCTGGGGATGCGCGGTACCAGGGGATGCGGGGACAAGAGCGGCTTTGTCCCCACGGAGCCTGCGCCAGGCTGGCACTGGGGACATGGGGCACCCTCTGACACCCGGGTCCAGATGTGGGGATGGGGACAAGGCCAGATCCACTGCAGCCCTCAGCAGTGCACGGGGCATGGGGGACACCAGGGTCCCACTGGCCATGGGGCACGACTCTGCAGGGGGGCAGCAGGGAAAGGGGGTCGTGTGGCTCAAGGGGAGATGAGGCACATGAAGAGGGGACAGGGGACATGGGGCACGTGGGCATGGGTGCCCATGTGAGCATGGGGACAATGTGGACATAGGGACACAGACATGGAGTAGCCACGGGTAGGGTGCTGGGTGTGGGACGCAGTTCAGGTGCAAAGGTGGATGGAGGGTGGGATGCAGATGCAGATGTGCATTCAGAGCAGGTTGTAGGGTGGAATGCAGATGTGGACGCAGATGTGGATGCAGGGCAGGATGCAGGATGGGATGCAAATGTGGATGCAAGGATGCAGATGTGGATGCAAAGGTGGATGCAGGGCAGGGTGCAGATGCAGGTGCAGAGGTGGATGCAGGGCAGGATGCACATGCAGTTGCAGAGGTGGATGCAGGGCAGGATGCAGATGCGGGTGCAGAGACAGATGCAGGGCAGGATGCAGATGCGGGGGCAGAGGTGGATGCAGATGTGGGTGCAGAGGTGGATGCAGGGCAGGATGCAGAGGCGGGTGCAGAGGTGGATGCAGGGCAGGATGCAGATGCGGGTGCAGGCGTGGATGCAAAGGTGGATGCAAGGCAGGAGAGGGATGCAGGTACAGATGTGGATGCAGGGCAGAACGCAGAGGAGGATGCAGAGGTAGATACAGGGTGGGATGCAGATGCAGACCTGCGAGCCGCGGGCACTGGGGGTGAGGTACCTGCCGGGGCGGGTGCGGCTCCTGGTAGCTGGGCAGCACCTTGAGCACGACGCTGCCGCTGGCCTGGCGCAGGGACTCCTGCAGAGCCCGCGGGTCGCTGCCCACCTCGCGCCCGTTCACCTCGCGGATGACGTCCCCCACGTGCAGCAGCCCCTGCTGCGCCACCATGCCCCCGTGCAGGATGCGGGCGACCACCAGCTCCCCCCGCTCCACCCGGAATGTCACCCCCTGGGTGCACAGCCCCGGTCAGCACCGGCACCAGTGCCAGCGGTCACATCCAGTCACCCCCAGCATCACCCATTGCCCTCCAGTCACACCAGCAATGCTCCAGCACCCCGCAATGCCCCCAGCACCCACAGTAATACCTTCCCAGCACTCTGTAGTGTCAACAGCAACACCCCTGATGTCCACAGCATCCTGCATCATCACCCCACAGCACCCTGCAATGCCCTCCAGCACCCCACAGAACCCCAATGCTCACAGCACCTGCACCATCACCATCACCCACAGCACCCCACAGTGCTTGCAATGCTCCCGGCACCCTGCAATGCCCTCTAGCACCCCGCAGCACTTGGCACCAGCACCTAACATCACACCAGCACCCTGCAATGCTCCCAATGCTCCCAGCACCCAGCAACACGCCACAGCACCCCCAATGTCCACAGCACCTGCACCACCACCACCCACAGCACCCAGCAATGCCCCCCAGCACCCCAGTGCCCACAGCACCATCCCCATCACCCGCGGCACCCGTGGCTCCACTGGCTCTCACCAGGCTCTGGCCGGGCGCACGGCGGATGCCCACCATGCGCACGGCGTCGGGGGGCAGCGGGTGGTGGCTGCCGGGGGGCGGGACCGGGCTCCCCGGGGGGGTCTCGTAGCTCTTGGTGGCCACCGAGTCGTGCGTCTCCAGCAGCGACTGCGAGGACACGGCACAGGGCTGGCACGCGCCTCGCACACGTGTCCTTGCACACATGTCCTTGCACACGTGTCCTTGAACACGAATCCTTACACAAGCATCCCTGCACACACTTCCCTGCACACACGTCCTCGCACACATGTCCCTGCACACGCGTCCTCGCACATGTGGCCTTGCACACACATGCTTGCACATGCATCCTCACACACGCGTCCTCGCACACGCATCCTTGCATCCCTGCACACGTGTCCTCACACACGCGTCCTTGCACACGCATCCTTGCACATGCATCCCTGCACACGTATCCTCACACACGCATCCTTGCACATGCATCCCTGCACACGTGTCCTCACACACGCATCCTTGCACATGCATCCCTGCACACGCATCCTTGCACACACATGCTCGCACCTGGAAGTGGGGCTGGCGCAGGATGCGGCTCAGTTCCGCAGCCGCGCTGTCCCGCGGCGCCAGGGGCCCGATGTCCCGCAGGATCTCCTGCACCAGCGCCACGTTGTTGTCCTGCACCGCCTCCAAGCGCCGCTCCTCCAACCGCTCGTGCGCCTGTGGGCACACGCATGTGAGCAAGAACACGTGAGCACACCTTGGCCATTGCACGCACACAGCACCCCATGTGCACATGCACAAACCTGCCCTTTTGCAGGCACACACATGCACAGCATCAAATACAGGCGTACATGTGTGTGCTCACCTATCACCACAGCGATGTGTGCACACGCGCGTGCCATTGCACAATCATGTGCGCATGTAAATACCCAGCAACACGCACATAGAGTGATGCACACACGTGCACACACGCGTGCAAAGATGCACACTCACTTGCGTGCACGCACACACACGTATGAGCAAGTATGGGCACACACCTCCCTGCATGCACGCACACGTGCAGGTGTACATCCATGCATGCACACACATCCGTGTACATGTGGATGCATACCTACATGTACATGCACACACAGGTATGTGCAAACATGAGCAGAGACCTCCTCGCATGCACACAAGCATATATCCACATATGCACGCACACACACGCAAAGACATATGGATGCATGTGTACACGCATAGATACATGTGTGCACATGCAGGTACATGCGAACACACACACATGTGAGCACACATCCATGCACATACGCACACACATGTACACAAGCACAAACATCCATATGCATGCACATCTTCCTGCACACCACAGGGACACACATGTGTGTGCACAAACACACGACAGCCCTCAACACACATGCACACGTGTGCCCCATGCGCTGCCCTGTGCCCGGGGGGGTCACGGTGTCCGCATGGTGTCCCCTCACCTTGGCCAGGGACCGCACGATGGGGCTCTCCATGATGCCGCGCAGGAAGATGAGGTCGAGGTCCGCGGCTCCGGGGGGGCCTGGGACCCCCATCAGGTTGTCCAGGACCTGCTGCATGGCTTGGGGGGAAATGGGAGGATCCTGGGGACCCATTATGGCACCCCTGCACCAGGGACCACAGGGAGCAACCCCCCCCCAAAGCAGCACTTGGAGGTGTGTTCAGTGATAAGGGCCAAAATGCAGCTGGGGGGGGGTTCTGTGCAATTGGGGTGGGTGCAATGCAATTGGAGGGGGATGATGTGGGGGAGTGCAATGCGATTGGGGGAGTTCAGTGCAATCAATGTGAAACGATTCAATGGGGGGTACGATTCAATGGGGGGGTTCAATGCACGGAGGGGTGCAATGCAATGGGGGGCTGCGAGAGACAGCAGTGCAATGGCGGGAGATGCTCGGGATGGGGGGGGTGTTAATCCAGACACCCCCATATCGGGGGGGGTCACAGCATCACCCAAGAGCCCCCCCAAACATCACCCACGCACCCCCTTCCCTGCCGCCATCTCCTTTCATCCCCCCCATCCCCCCCAGGGCCCTGCGCCCCATCAGCCCCCGCACCCCCTATCCCCCCCCCCCATACCTGGGGGGTGCCGGGGGGGACTCTTAGGGGCCGGGAACCCTCTGCCGGGGTCGCTCATGGCTGCGCGCGGCAGCGCCGGGGACCCCCACCATCATCCGGGTACCGCGGCCCCCCCGGTCCACATCATCCCCCCCCGCCTTGCACACGCGGGCACGCTCGTGTGCTCACACACACACACACCCCCCACACCGCGCTTGCACTTACCTGCTCTTGCACGCGCACACACCCCGGAACCCCCCCGCAGCGTGGGGAGGGGGAACGGGGGTGTTCGGCCCCTTTAAGGGGGGGGGGGAATGCGCTGTTGCCATGGCAGCGGGGGGGCCGGATTTAAAGGGACCGCGGCCCGCTCCCTTGCACACGGGCATGCACAAGCGCGCACACGCACGTGTGTCGTGTCCCGTACCCCCCCCCCACCCGCAGCGCCCCCCCTCGCAGGAGCGACCCCCGCAGCACCCCCCGCTTGCACGCGCGTGTGCAAGGCCCCGGTGAGCGCTCACCCGCGACGGAGCCGGGGGCAGCCGCGGGCATCGCTGCGGGGCACGGGGCCACGGGGCCTGGCACGGCCGGGACGGGGCCACCGCGCAGGCGTGCGGGGCCCGGGCAGCCCCGGGCACACGGGCTCGTGCTTGCACACGCGTGTGCGAGGGCACCACGGGCGATCGCGGGGGCACGCGGGGCCCCTGTGACCTCCCAGGGACAGAACGGAGGGACCCCAGCGCGGCACCGGCACCCGCACAGTGGGGACCCCCCCAGGGTGTCCCAGCACCGGCATCCCCGGTGCCTCCTGCACCAGTCAGCGGCTGCAGTGCCCAACACAACCGGTATCAGGGTCCCCATGGACCCACCCCCCCCCAGTGTCACCAGCACCCCACTGTCCTCAGCATCCCCAGTTCCCCGTCTTCCCAAGCAGGCAGAGGCAGAAAGTGGCTGCAGGGGGTTTATTGCGGGGGGGGGCAGGATGGTCCAGGGGTGATGAATGCAGCGTGGTGGGTGCTGTAGGTGGGTGCAGTGGGTGCCGTTGGGTGCTGTAGGTGGGTGCAGTGGGTGCCGTTGGTGGGTGCTGTAGGTGGGTGCAGTGGGTGCCGCTGGTGGGTGCTGTAGGTGGGTGCAGTGGGTGCCGTTGGTGGGTGCTGTAGGTGGGTGCAGTGGGTGCCGTTGGTGGGTGCTGTAGGTGGGTGCAGTGGGTGCCGTTGGTGGGTGCAGTGGGTGCCGTTGGTGGGTGCTCTAGGTGGGTGCAGTGGGTGCCGCTGGTGGGTGCTGTAGGTGGGTGCAGCGGGTGCCGTTGGTGGGTGCTGTAGGTGGGTGCAGTGGGTGCCGCTGGTGGGTGCTGTAGGTGGGTGCAGTGGGTGGGTGCAGTGGGTGCCGTTGGTGGGTGCTGTAGGTGGGTGCAGTGGGTGCCGTTGGTGGGTGCTGTAGGTGGGTGGTGTTGCTGCTTTTGGGAGGCTCCTCTTCACCCACCGGCCACGCAGCATCCCTGCAAGGAGAGGGGTCAGCACCCAGCACCCACAGCACTGCCGGCACACGGAGGTGATGCCCGGGATGACCCAGCCCCGGCCCCTCCTCACCTGGGGCTCAGCACCCTGCGGTGCCGAAGGGCTCCTCGGACAGCGCCCGCCCACCGGAGCGCTTCCCGTACCTGCAGGGAGCATGTTACCGGGGAGCAGCCACCGGAGCAACATGTAACGGGGAGCAGCGTGTAACGGGGAGCAGCGTGTAACGGGGAGCAACGTGTAACGGGGAGCAGCGTGTAACGGGGAGCAGCGTGTAATGGGGAGCAATGTGTAATGGGGAGCAATGTGTAACGGGGAGCAGCGTGTAACGGGGAGCAGCGTGTAGTGGAGAGCAGTGTGTAATGGGGAGCAGCGTGTAATGGGGAGCAGCGTGTAACGGGGAGCAGCGTGTAGTGGAGAGCAGTGTGTAACGGGGAGCAACGTGTAACGGGGAGCAGTGTGTAACGGGGAGCAGTGTGTAACGGGGAGCAACGTGTAACGGGGAGCAGCGTGTAACGGGGAGCAGCGTGTAATGGGGAGCAGCGTGTAACGGGGAGTGGCGTGTAACGGGGAGCAGAGTGTAACGGGGAGCAGCGTGTAGTGGGGAGCAGCGTGTAACGGGGAGCGGCGTGTAATGGGGAGCGGCGTGTAACGGGGAGCAGAGTGTAACGGGGAGCGGCGTGTAGTGGGGAGCAGCGTGTAACGGGGAGCGGCGTGTAACGGGGAGCGGCGTGTAATGGGGAGCAGCGTGTAACGGGGAGTGGCGTGTAACGGGGAGCGGCGTGTAATGGGGAGCAGTGTGTAATGGGGAGCAGTGTGTAATGGGGAGCAACGTGTAATGGGGAGCAGCGTGTAATGGGGAGTGGCGTGTAATGGGGAGCAACGTGTAATGGGGAGCAGCGTGTAATGGGGAGCAACGTGTAATGGGGAGCAGTGTGTAATGGGGAGCAACGTGTAATGGGGAGCAGAGTGTAATGGGGAGTGGTGTGTAATGGGGAGCAGCGTGTAATGGGGAGCAGAGTGTAACGGGGAGCAGCATGTAATGGGGAGCAGCGTGTAATGGGGAGCAGCGTGTAATGGGGAGCAGAGTGTAATGGGGAGCGGCGTGTAATGGGGAGCAGCGTGTAATGGGGAGCAGAGTGTAACGGGGAGCAGTGTGTAACGGGGAGCAGTGTGTAATGGGGAGCGGCGTGTAATGGGGAGCGGTGTGTAATGGGGAGCGGTGTGTAATGGGGAGCAGTGTGTAATGGGGAGCAGAGTGTAACGGGGAGCAGTGTGTAACGGGGAGCAGTGTGTAATGGGGAGAACGGGGCAGCAGGGAGCAGTGTGCAAAAGGGGGCAGGTCACAGTGGAGAACACATCACAATGGGAGCACGTCATGATGCACGTCGCAACAGGGAGCAGGTCATGATGGGGAGCACATCGCAGTGGGGGGCAGGTCACAATGGGGATGGGGAACACATCACAGTGGGGGCAGGTCATAACAGGGGGCACAGCATGATGAGGAGCACATTGCAATGGGGAGCAGGTCACGGTGGGAAGCAGATCACAGTGGGGGCAGGTCACAATGGGAAGCATGTCACGATGGGAGCATGTCGTGATGGGGAGCAAGTCACAATGGGAGGCAGGTCACAGTGGGGAGCAGGTCATTATGGGGGCACATTTCAATGGGGCTGTACCTCGATGGGGATCAAGTCATGATGGGGCCATGTTGCGATACGGATCGTGTCGCGGTGGGGGTCATGTCATGATGGGGATCATGTCACAATGGGGATTGCGTTGAGATGGGGATCGTGTAGCGATGGGGATCGTGTCGCAATGGGGATCGTGTCGCAATGGGGATTGTGTTGCGGTGGGGGTCATGTCATGATGGGGATCGTGTCGCGATGGGGATTATGTTGAGATGGGGATCGTGTAGCGATGGGGATCGTGTCGCAATGGGGATCATGTCGCAATGGGGATCGTGTCGCGATGGGGATTGTGTCGCGATGGGGATTGTGTTGCGATGGGATTGTATCGCGATGGGGATCGTGTCGCGATGGGGATTGTGTCACCATGGGGATTGTGTCACGATGGGGATCGTGTCACAATAGGGATTGTGTCGCGATGGGGATCGTGTCATGATGGGGATCGTGTCGCGATGGGATTGTGTCACAATGGGGATCGTGTCGCGATGGGATTGTGTCGCGATGGGGAATGTGTCGCGATGGGGATCGTGTCGCAATGGGGCTGCGTGGCCGCCCCGCACTCACCGGTGCCGGGTCACCACGTTCAGGTACTGCTGCAGGTCCTGGTAGAAGCGCTCGAGCTCCTCGAGGGTCGCGTCGTCCCCGGGGTACCTGGGTTGTGCGGGGCTGGCAGCGCCAGGACCCTCCCGCAGCAGCACCAGTGCCCACACCAGCAGCAGCAGCGCCCGGCAGCGGGGAGCCATGGCTGCGCCTGGCACATGTGGGTGCACACGTGTGAGCACAGACCCGTACACGTGTGAGCACACACCCGTACACGTGTGAGCACAGACCCGTACACGTGTGAGCACACACCCGTACACGTGTGAGCACACACCCGTACACGTGTGAGCACAGACCCGTACAGGTGTGAGCACAGACCCGTACACGTGTGAGCACAGACCTGTACACGTGTGAGCACAGACCTGTACATGTGTGAACATAGACCTGTACGTGTGAGCACAGACCTGTACATGTGTGAACACAGACCCGTACACGTGTGAGCACAGACCCGTACACGTGTGAGCACAGACCTGTACACGTGTGAGCACAGACCCGTACACGTGTGAGCACAGACCTGTACACGTGTGAGCACAGACCCGTACACGTGTGAGCACAGACCCGTACACGTGTGAGCACAGACCCGTACACGTGTGAGCACAGACCTGTACACGTGTGAGCACAGACCCGTACACGTGTGAGCACAGACCCGTACACGTGTGAACACAGACCCGTACAGGTGTGAGCACAGACCCGTACACGTGTGAGCACAGACCCGTACACGTGTGAGCACAGACCCGCACACGTGTGAGCACAGACCCGCACACGTGTGAGCACACACCAGCACACACATGTGCACACCCCCCGCATCCCCCGTCCCTGTCACCCCCCAGGATGAGGCCCCAGCCCCACTCACCTGCTCGCAGAAGCGGTGACAAGGACTCACTGACACGGGGCTGTGGCCGTGGGCTCCCCGGTGCCGCTGTGGCGCCGTCCCTTATATCCTATGTGTGTGTGCGTCCCCCCCCGATCACCCGGATGCGTGGCACCGGCGGCCACTTGGTTGGGGGGGGGCCCACGGGGCCCCCGGCGCTGCCCTGGTTAATGTGTGACCGGGCTGGGGGGGTCCGGGCTGAGGACAGGGACGGGGGGAGCCGATGTCTGTGCCCAGAGCACCTGGGCCCCAGGGGTGGACAGAGTGGGGCTGGGCAGGGGAAGGGGCAATGTGGGGTGAGGGTGGGATGGAGGAAGGGGGGGACAGGGGGACGTGGGGCTGCGGCAGTGGGGTCGGGGTTAGCTGCAGCCCCCACTGCAGCCAGAACCACGGGCTGGGGGGGTCGGGGACCCCCAGCCCTGACACAGACCCTGATGGCTGCAGCCCCCACAGCGACCCAGCAGGCAGTGGCAGCACCCACTGCCCAGGCACCCCCACCAGTGCACCCAGTAACCTGTGCCCCCGCAGTGCACCCCCTGCATCCCTCCCTCAACCCCTCCGTCACCCCCTCCATCCCTCCTGCGTCCTCCCTTCCATCCCTCCCTCCTCTGCACCTCTTCACCCACCTGCATCTCCCCCCTTTGCCTCCCCGTCAGCCCTCCCTCCCTCCTCCCCTGCACCCCATCACCCCCCCACACGCACATTCTCTCCTGCATCCCTCCATCCCCCTGCATCTTCCCCTCCACCCCTGGATTCCCCCCGCATCCCTTCCTCCATCCTTTCCCACTCACAATCCAGCCCCTGCTCACAATCGTCTCTTTATTGCCATTGCGGGGCCATGCGGGTGCCCCCCAACAACGGCATGGAGAGAACGGGGTCAGGGCAGGGCCCCCCCCACAGAGGGACCCCCCGGTTCAGCATCTGGGGGTCTCCAGGCCCTCCCCCCCACACACGGCAGAGCCCCAGGGGAGACATGGGGAAGACTTGAGGGGGGCGTCATCAGGAGGAGTCATCCTCGTACCTGTGGGAAGCGCTGGTGTGAGGGGTGGGGGCCAGGACCCCCAAACCGGCCCTGGGTACCCCAAAGCAGCTGCCCGGCCCCCCTGCAGGGGGGGACATGGGGGCACTCACCACGATCTGTCACTGCCGGTGCCCCAGAGCAGCCCCAGCACCGGGGCCTCGGAGCGCTTCCCGTACCTGCGGGCATGGGGGTCCCCGTGAGCACACGGGTCCTCGTACAGAGCACACGCGTGTTCACGCGTGTCCGCGCGTGCCGGCGCTCACCTCTGCCGCGTCACCAGGTTGATGTAGTGCCGAAGGGCAGAGAAGTACCTGGCCACCTCCTCGGGGGAAGCGTCGTCCCCGGGGCTTGGGGGCTTGGGGGGGTACGCGCCCGCCAGCGGGGCCAGGCCCAGCAGGACACAGAGCGCCAAGGCCCCCAGGCAGCGCCACCACCGCGGGGACATCACCATCCGAGAGGGACCGGACACTGGTACCCACATGACCCCCATGGACCCAGTTCAGCCCCAGGGACCCAATTCACCCCCATCACCCCCATGGACCCCCATCACTCCCCAAGCCCACCACCACTCCCATCGCCCCATCCCAAAGTCACACCCCACGGTCCCCAAGTGACATTCCCCCCCCCCCCCGCCATGTCCCACCAAACATCTCCCTCCCCAAGCCCCCCCCAGTGTCCCCAGTGGGGATCTCCTGCCCCATAAGAACCCCCAAAGGACCCCACATGTCACACACCTCACCGAGCCCCGTCCCCACACTCACAGTGTCAGGAGGCGACAGCACTGGGACGCGCCAGCTCCTGTCCCGGCCCCATTTTATGGCCTTGGGGGGGGGTTCCGCCTCCTCTTCCCCCCCAACACCGACCCAGGGGCATGGCTGGACCCCCCCGCACCCCCCCCCGTCCACGTCACAGCCCCGTGTCCCCGCTGAGCCCCACAGCAGGAGCCCCGGGGGCTGGGGACAGGCGCAGAGCATGGGGGCACAGCAGGGACACGGGCACCGCATGCGGCACATGGGACATGGGCACGGATGTGACAGCAGGAACAGTGGCACACGGGTGTGGATGTGACACAGCCATGGCACGCAACCATGGCACGCGGACACGGTGCACAGGTATGGGATGCACACACGGCACACGGGATACAGCAACGCATGGCAATGGCACAGGACACACGGACACTGGTCCCTGTGCTGTGACCCGGGGGGGGGGGTACGCACCAGCCCCATGTCCCATCACTGTGACCTGGCACCAACAGTGCCACCGCACAGATGGCCCCAAATCCGGGGGGGGGGGCGGTTGTGTGTGGATCAGGCTGCAGTGGCCCCCCCATAGCCGAGTGCTTCCTGCCCCATTCCCTCCGGGAACAGCAAACAGCCGCTTCCAAAGGTCACCGGATGGCTCAGCCCAGGGAGGGGGTCTGGATGTGTCCCCCCCCCATCACACCCTAAGGAGGGGCTGGGACTGGAGAGGGCTGTTGGAGGGGTTGGGGGTGCGCAGCCCCCATGGCCCCCCCGGCCCACAGAGCAAACAGGATCCTGCCGCTTCCCTGCGCTTTATGGCCCCGGATCCGGAGGCACTTCGGATCCCCCCCCCTCCCCGGAGGAAGGTTCTTATCGGCCCTGTTTGATTTTCCACTGCTCCGGGGGGGCGCACAGGGACGACCGGATACCAACCCCCCCATTCCGAAATGCTCTTTGCCATAAAGCCCTGCGGCAGGCAGGGAACAGGCAGGGAACAGGCAGCAAAACCCAGCCCAGGACCACCCCCTGCTACCCCTGCCTCGGTCTCCCCTCTGCAGGAAGGGGACACCCATCACTGGCACATAGGCTGCCCCCAAATAGCCCCCAGACCCCCAAATCACACCCCCAGGCCCCCAAATTGACCCCCCAAAAACTGATCCCCCCAACAACCAGAATAACCCCAGGGTGACAGAAAAGCTTCTTGTTCATCGGTAAAAACACCCCCGGGGGGAAGGGGGGGGGGGGCCAGCCACACAGTGGCCAGCGCCCCCCCAGGGTCCCCCCTTGCCCCCAGGCAGCTCCTGCCCCATCCACGGGCAGGAATCAAGTATTTACAAACAGGATAAACTCCAATGAGGGGGGTGATGGGGTTAAACCCCACCGGGACCCCCCCCCGTCATCCATCAGTGGCCAGGATGACGACGGCGCCGAAGATGCCGACGTTCTGGCCAATGAGCTTCATCTGGTTCCAGAACTCGACGCGGCGCGAGTGGTGCCAGTAGCCGAGGTTGCCGTCGATGAGGAGGATGGCGGGAGGCAGCAGCACGGCCAGGACCTGTGCCGCCGCCCGCACGTAGCATCCCGACAGGAAGGCCAGCGCCAGCAGCCCGTACAGCACAAAGAGGAGCTGGAGCGCCAGCTCCCCCCCCAGCAGGTGGTTCAGGTAAGCCAGGCGGTCCTCCTTGCTGTGCTGCAGGGAGTACGCCTGAGGATGGGACAACACGGGTGGGAGCTGGGATGGGGAGAGTGACCCTAAAGCTTGTCCAGTTCCAACCCCCTGCCATCGGTTCCGTAGGGAAGGATGCTTCAGCCTGGCCCTGAGCACTGCCAGGGATGGGTTCGGTTCAGCCAGGACAAGGGAAGCTGTGTGGGGACCTCAGAGCAGCTCCCAGACGGGCTACAGGGATGCTGGAGGGGAAGCTCCATCAGTGAGAGGACAAGGATTGATGGGTTCTAACGGAAACAGGGGGGACTGAGGTTGGATACAGCGGGAGGAGGAGCTGTTGGTGATGGGGGGCCTGGAGATTGCTCATCCTGGGTGGTTTCAAGCCTATGGTTGGGAACGGGATGAGCTCCGCCGGGAATGGGGCTGCCCCATCCCTGGCAGTGCTCAAGGGCAGCTGGACAGCGGTGCTGCGAGCAGAGCCCTAAAGGACCCAAACCCAGTGCGTTGTGGGTCAGGACGGGGCTGTGCCCCCCCCGCTCCCCGTACCTGGCAGATGAGGTAGATGCCGAGGAAAACCTGCCCCGTGGACTGCAGCGAGCGGCTGCGCGGCCGCTGCCGGTACAGCTCCCCCGCGCCACTGGCCAGGATGAGGAACCCACCGATGATGGCGATGGTGCGGGAGTACATCCGGACCTGCACGGGGACACGGTCACCGCGGGCCGGGCTACGGCGGGGTTACCGGAGTCGGACGGGGGGGTTTTACCTTTAACCAGTCCCCGTAGTGCCCGTGGCCGCCGACGTGAGCCGCGTACGTGGCCACCGCGAGCTGCAGCGCGGCGCCGAGGGCGAACCAGCGGCGCTTCACCCCGAAGGACATGAAACTGGCGCAGAGCACGGCCACCCCCATGTCCACGTACAGGTACGGGACCGGGATGTCCGGCTTCCTGCGGGCACGGCACGTACAGGCATCACCCCCAGTGCCCCACAGCCACCAGCACACAGCACCCACAGACATCACCCCCAGTGCCCCACAGCCACCAGCGCACAGCACCCACAGACATCACCCCCAGTGCCCCACAGCCACCAGCGCACAGCACCCACAGACATCACCCCCCGGTGCCCCACAGCCACCAGCGCACAGCACCCACAGACATCACCCCCCAGCCACCAGCACACAGCACCCACAGACATCACCCCCAGTGCCCCACAGCCACCAGCACACAGCACCCACAGACATCACCCCCAGTGCCCCACAGCCACCAGCACACAGCACCCACAGACATCACCCCCAGTGCCCCACAGCCACCAGCGCACAGCACCCACAGACATCACCCCCAGTGCCCCACAGCCACCAGCGCACAGCACCCACAGACATCACCCCCCGGTGCCCCACAGCCACCAGCGCACAGCACCCACAGACATCACCCCCCAGCCACCAGCACACAGCACCCACAGACATCACCCCCAGTGCCCCACAGCCACCAGCACACAGCACCCACAGACATCACCCCCAGTGCCCCACAGCCACCAGCACACAGCACCCACAGACATCACCCCCAGTGCCCCACAGCCACCAGCGCACAGCACCCACAGACATCACCCCCCGGTGCCCCACAGCCACCAGCACACAGCACCCACAGACATCACCCCCAGACATCACCCCACAGCCACCAGCACACAGCACCCACAGACATCACCCCCAGTGCCCCACAGCCACCAGCACACAGCACCCACAGACATCACCCCACAGTCACCAGCACACAGCACCCACAGACATCACCCCCAGTGCCCCACAGCCACCAGCACACAGCACCCACAGACATCACCCCCCAGCCACCAGCACACAGCACCCACAGACATCACCCCCAGTGCCCCACAGCCACCAGCACACAGCACCCACAGACATCACCCCCAGTGCCCCACAGCCACCAGCACACAGCACCCACAGACATCACCCCCAGTGCCCCACAGCCACCAGCGCACAGCACCCACAGACATCACCCCCCGGTGCCCCACAGCCACCAGCACACAGCACCCACAGACATCACCCCCAGACATCACCCCACAGCCACCAGCACACAGCACCCACAGACATCACCCCCAGTGCCCCACAGCCACCAGCACACAGCACCCACAGACATCACCCCACAGTCACCAGCACACAGCACCCACAGACATCACCCCCCCGGTGCCCCCCAGCCACCAGCACGCACCAGCCCCACAGACACCACCCCCCCAGCCCACCTTCCCCCCACTGACAGGCCCCTCCGCAGACACCCAACGGGCCCCCCCTTGGCTGGCTCAGCCCCACACCTCCTCCCGTCGGCGCGCTCAGCGCACAGCAGGAGCCCGCTGAAGCAGTGCCAGAACGGGAACCGCGTCAGCAGCACCGCGCCCCCCGCCGTCAGCAGCCGCAGCGCGCGCCGCCGCCACCCGCGCACCGGCGCCATGGCCCCGCGCCGGGACCCGGAACCAGCACCGCGGCCCCGCCCCCTCCGCAAACCACGCCCACCGTGACCCTCGTGGCCCCGCCCCTCGCTGCGCCCCCGATTCACCCCGCCCCTCTGCGGAAGCCCCGCCCCTCCCGCACACCACACCCCCCACGAAGCCCCGCCCCCTCCCCAAGCCCTGCACCTGCTCAGCGGGAAGCCCCGCCCCCTCCCCGCAGGCCCCGCCCCTCGCCCCACACACGGTGATGGTTAAAAAACGTTCGGGTTTATTTTGTCCGTTTTGGTCGGTTTTTTTCTTCTAAACAAGACTAAAAAATTTTCCTTTTTTTTTTTTTTTGCTTTTCTCCTTTTTTCTTTTTTTTTTCTCTGTTTTTTGTTTGGTTTTTTTCTTTCTTTTTTTTCTTTTTTACTCTTTTTTGTTCAGTTTTCACTCGTCCCCAGGCAGGGCTTGAACTGGGGGGGGAGGGGGGGGATTGAACCAAAACACCCCAAAATCAACCCAAAACGGGGGCGGGAATCATGGCAAAACCCAAAAAAACTGGGAAAATTCAGGAAAATAAAGAGACCCCCCCCCCAAGGGGGGAGGAAGGGGGGGATTTTCTGCCATGATCCTGAGGGAGAAGAGATTTTGGGATCAGTTTAATATATCTTCATATATAGCTTTAAAGGGAAGAATTCCCTCCGGGAATTCAAGCCCTGCCCTGTGCAAACTGGATTCCAACCAGACAGCGCTGGTCTGGGGGAGCCGGGGCATCACTTTTGGGCGGGGGGGGGATAGGGAATAGGGGGACCCCCCCTTTAGAAAAGCAAAGGGGGGATTGGGAATATGGGGAGAAAAAGGGTGGGAAAGGCAACGGGAGAAGGAGCTGTTAGTGGTGGAGGGGAGGTTGCTCTGGTCTCGGGTGGCTTCAAGGCTACAGCTGGGAATGGGATGAGCTCCCACGGGAAACAAAAAGGGAAATCGAAGTGGGATCGATGCCCCCCCCCAGCCCCCCCCCAAATTGGCACCACGGCCACCAGAGCTGAGCGGTGCTCCCGGGGGTCTCAGGAGGACAAAGGGGTCTCCTTCTGTGGCTGCTGTGCTTGGGAACGCTGCATCACCTTCTGGCTCTCCACGTCTCGGAAGTGCTTCTCCACCTGCAGTGGGAACAATGGGATGCAGGGGATGGAGAGAGGGGGTTAGGGACGGGGGCGATGGGAACACGGGTTAGGGATGGACGGGACGGGAAGAGGGGGTTAGGGATGGACGGGAAGAGGGGGGTTAGGGATGGATAGGACGGGAAGAGGGGGTTAGGGATGGACGGGACGGGAAGAGGGGGGTTAGGGATGGATGGGACGGGAAGAGGGCGTTAGGGGCAGAGGGGATGGGAAGAGGGGGTTAGGGGCGGAGGGGATGGTGGGGCTCCCCCGGCTCCCCCCTGGCCATGCCCCCCCATACTCACAATCTTGCGCACGTGGCTCAGGGCGCTGCCCTCTTTGCCTTTGCAATTCTCCACCTGGTAGGGGGGCGCGATGACGACTTCCTCCATCACCACGATGTTCTTCTCCTGCCATTTACAGTCCTTAATGCTGCAGGAAGGGAACAGGGATCAGGGACACATCCCCAGGGAGCTCCGAGCTCTGTGTGTGCCCCCCAGCCCAAGGGCCGTGCCCTGGGATACAGGGAATTCCATGGCTCTGGGCAGGGACTCACGTCTTGTGGATGGTCTGGAAGAGCTGCTGCCCCTCCAGGGAGACGCCGGCGCTGATGGCATAGGCCTGGCTCAGCTTCTCCTCCTTCTCCGTCCGCGCTTTGGTGGCGAGCTGGGGAGGACACAGCAGGAGAGGGGCCTCAGCATCACCATGGGCACGGTATTCCCACGGGAAACCCCACTCCTTCCATCCACACCCTCAGGCCCCTCTCCCTTGTGTCCCCTCCAGCAGTGGTGGGGACAGCCCTGGGAGCAGCGGGATAAGGAGCAGCCCCTCCATGTGCTGCCTCCATCAAGTGCTCCTGGATCCTGGGATCAGGTCTGTCAATGGGATGTGCTCTCCCGATCCATCACCAACAGCTCCACAGCAGACACACCAAGCCTCCAACTTCCAGCATTCCCAATTCAAGGATCCCACGGCTTCACCCCCTGCAGTGAGCACCTGAAGGCACCGGTGCCAGTGAGGAGCCCTTGCATGCCAGCAGCATGGATTAGATCCACATCCATGGAATGATGGGAAAGGCATCATTCCCATGTGATGAATGGCACTGAGCATCCTTCCCGCAGCAGCAGCATTCCTGCCCCTTCCACAGATCCCTATAGATGGATCCTGTTGTGTCCCAGCTCAGCACAACCAGAGGACCAGGCAGGGCTGAGCATTCCCATGTGCCATCAGCTCCATTCCCAGCTCCAGGCCAGTGTCAAAGCCTGTATCCCAGCGCTGCAGCACCAGCGATCCCAGCCTGGCTCCGCACACATGAGAGGGGAGACCCCAGAGCCAGGCCCCCCACCTTCCCTGCTCCCAACACCACCACGGGGAATGGGAAGGGATCCCCTTCCAGAGGGAGGAGGGGAAGCGGCTCCTCAATATCCAAGTGACTGGGCCCAGCTCTCAGCCTGGCTCCAGAGCTCAGCACCAGCTCCTGAGGGTGCTGGATCCCACTGTCCATGTCACTGATCGATCCCAACCCCGATCCCTGAGGAACACCGCCCATCACTGATCTCCATCTGGGATATGGAGCCACTGCCCACAGCTCTGGATGTGCCCACTCCCTACACATGGACTGCTCCCTCCTTTGAGCATCCCAGTGCTGCTCCCTGCTCCAGCTCCACCCTCCCTCCTCTCTGCTGAAGCAGAGGATCCAGCCCAAGATCCTGAGTGGGAACAGGGCATTCCCGGCCTTGGGAATGCATCTCTTACCTTGCTGACATTGAGGGAAGCCAAAGGAGGGGGGTTTCTGTGCGGTCATTGATTATCTCCACTTCTGACACGTACTGGAGGTTGACGAGCAGGATGTCCGCGTGGTTGGGCTTCCCGCTGGATGAGGGGCATTCTGCGGGGGGGATGTTAAGGAATACAAATCCACAGGGACACAGCTGCAGGCCTGAGGGGCGGAGCGGTCCAGGAGCAAACCAGATCACCCAAAACAAATGGGAGACCCCAACACCCCCCTGGGTCTCCTCTGGGATCCATTCACTGCTGCTTCAGCTTTCCCGACTACACCAGGAGTTATCCCAGCCTGGAACGCTGGGAAAAGCATCCCAAAAAGCCACTTAGATCCAAATGCTGAGCAGGGAACCCAACCAGCACCCCTCAACCTGCACCTTCTGATCCAGGGATGGAGGGAGCCAAAAGCATGGAAAACCCCACAGAATGGTTTAAGGATGCAAAGGACCTTAAAGGACCTTCCCTAGAGCACGCAACTCTTGTCCCATCCCTTGGGAGCAGAGCCCAGCCCCTTGCAGTGAATCCCAGGCCAGGAGCCGAGGGGCAGCCTCACCCCATTGCCCATGGGTCTGGCCTGGTCTCCTACAGGGCTCCCCTCAAACCCTTTCTATAGGGCACCCACCCCCATAACCCCACCACGGGGCTCCCCCAAACCAGCCCCCAGGGTGCCCCACACCCTCTCTATAGGGGACCCCACTCCCCTCCATTAATGCCATCCCCGGCATTATAGCATCCCTACGGGGTGCGCCACACAGAGCCCCCACCTCACCGCAGGGCTCATCCTTCCCTCCCTATAAGACACCCCAGAGTTTCCCCACAGCCCCACACAGGGCTCCCCACAGCCCCCCCCCCCCCAAAAAAAAAACCTGCCTATCCAGTGCCTCACTGCCTCCCCATAGCCCTACACAGGGTTCCTCAAAAACCTGCCTATATAATGCCCCACATGCCCCCCATAAGCCCACTACAGGACCCTCCACTGCCCCAAAAAACCCTCCTATCCAGGGCCCCATTCCCTCCCCATAGCCCTACAGAGGGCTCCCCACTGAGCCCCTCAAGCCTGCCTATCCAGTGCCCCACTGCCCCCCATAACTCCACATAGAGCTCATCACTGCCCCCCAAACCCCCTTTACAGAGTGCCTATACCCCATAACCCCAGTCCAGCCCTGCACTGAGCCCCCCAAACCCGCCTATCCAGCGCCCCACTGCTTTCCCCACAGGACCCCAAACCCTGCCTATAGAGCCCCCCACAACCCCAAATCCGGGCTCATCACACCTCCTCCAACCCCCCCTCACAGACGGCTATGGTCACCCCACTCCAGCCCCCCTAAACCCCCCTATTCAGCGCCTCCCTCCCCCCGCCCCAACCCCTCCTCCATTCCCCGGGCCTCCCATGGGCCCATCACCCCCACAGGCCCCACACCCCCCCCCCGCTGCCTGTGCCAGGCCGGGGCCGCTCAGGGCCGGTGCTGCGGGGGTGCCGGATACTGAGCGCCAGCATCTTGCTGGGGTAGTCGAAGGCCACGACCTCGCCCTGGAGGCGCTGCTCCTGGCAGGTCCGGCACGACACCAGGCTGCCCACGCTGAAGTACTCGCCCGGCGCCGCCATCTTGTCTCGGCCCGCACCGGGCTCCCCTCGGCCAGGCGCGGCGGGGCGGGGCCGCCTGACGTCACCGCGCACGCCGCCGGGCGGGGCTTGGCCCTCGCCGCACGCCGTAGTTGCCGCGGGGGATGATGGGGAGCGCAGGCGGAAGGAGGTAACGGGCGTTGCCACGGTAACGGCAGGGAAATGGAGGGGGAACAACGGGAGGGACCGGATAAAGCGGGGGGAGGCGGCGGGAGCGTCCCTGGGGGGAGCCCCGGAGAGCCCCGAGCGCGGCCCCGGGGAGCCCCGAGCTCCGGAGCGGAGCCGAGCCAGGCCCGGCCTGAGGGACCGCGAGAGGGCTCCGGCCTGCGGGATCATGGGAGGCCCGGCCCGGCCTAGGGACCCATAGAGACCCAGAGGGATCTATAGAGACCCATAGGGACCTATACAGACCCAGAGGGACCTATAGAGACCCGTAGGGACCTATAGAGACCCAGAGGGACCTATAGAGACCCATAGGGACCTATAGAGACCCAGAGGGACCTATAGAGACCTATAGGGACCTATAGAGACCCATAGGGACCTATAGAGACCCAGAGGGATCTATACAGACCCATAGGGACCTATACAGACCCAGAGGGACCTATAGAGACCCGTAGGGACCTATAGAAACCCAGAGGGACCTATAGAGACCCATAGGGACCTATAGAGACCCAGAGGGATCTATAGAGACCCAGAGGGACCTATAGAGACCCAGAGGGACCTATAGAGACCTATAGGGACCTATAGAGACCCAGAGGGACCTATAGAGACCCAGAGGGATCTATAGAGACCCAGAGGGACCTATAGAGACCTATAGGGACCTATAGAGACCCAGAGGGACCTATAGAGACCCAGAGGGACCTATAGAGACCCACAGAGACCCAGAGGGACCTATAGAGACCTATAGGGACCTATAGAGACCCAGAGCGACCTATAGAGACCCATAGGGACCTATACAGACCCATAGAGAACTATAGAGACCTATACAGACCCATAGGGACCTATAGGGACCTATAGAGACCCAGAGCGACCTATTAGAGACCCATAGGGACCTATACAGACTCATAGAGAACTATAGAGACCTATACAGACCTATAGGGACCTATAGAGACCCAGAGCGACCTATTAGAGACCCATAGGGACCTATACAGACCCATAGAGAACTATAGAGACCTATACAGACCCATAGGGACCCATAGGGACCTATAGAGACCCATAGGGACCTATAGAGACCCATAGAGACTCATAGGGACCCATAGGGACCTATAGAGACCCCACGTCTGGCGTAGGGGACCCACAGAGCCCCCAGGCCTGGCCTAGCCCAGCCCCGTTCCCCCCGCAGCGCTCCCGGTGTCCGCGGCCATGGATGCGCTGCACGAGGCCGGGATCCGCTTTGCGGCGCTGCTGCAGGCGGGGCCGTCCTGGCTGGAGCGGGTCCTGGTCCCGCTGACCTCCGTGGCCGACCCCAAGCACGTCTTCACCGTCTGCTTCCCGCTCTGCTACTCCCTGGAGCCAGGCGTGGGGACGGCGGTGCTGTGGGGCGCGCTGCTGGCCGAGTGGCTCAACGTGGTGCTCAAGTGGTGAGGAGGGCGGGGGGGGGTTCGCGGTCCCCAGCGGGCCGCGGCCCCGCATCCATCGCCGTGCGCTGCCTGCCCCCGCCAGGCTCCTCTGCGGCGAGCGGCCCTTCTGGTGGCTCCATGAGTCGGGAATGGCGGCGCGGGAGCTGCTGGCGCTGCGGCAGTTCCCTGTGTCCTGCGAGAGCGGACCCGGTGAGCGGGATCCGGAGCCCCGCATGCACAGGGCCGGGGCCCGGCTCCATCCTCATCCTCCCGCGCCCCACTCCCCGCGCTCCCTCCGCAGGGAGCCCCTCGGGGCACTGCATGGTCACGGCGGCAGCGCTGTGGCCGCTCGTGGCCGCGCTGCGCGCCCGCTGCAGGAGGTGAGTGCTGGGAGCGGCCGCTGGGAAGCGGGAGCCCGGGAATTCCCACCTGGAAAACTGCCCCCTGCAAGCAGCCCCGCGCTGAGGATCCTGCCCGGCGCTGCCTACGTCCTGCTGCTGGCGGCCGTGGGGCTCTCGAGGGTCTTCGTCCTGGCCCACTTCCCCCATCAGGTGGTGACCGGCACCGTGGCAGGTCAGTGGGGCTGACCCCCATCTATGGGGCGGGTCAGTGGGGCTGACCCCCATCTATGGGGCGGGTCAGTGGGGCTGACACCCATCTATGGGGTGGGTCTGTTGGGCTGACCCCCATCTATGGGGCGGGTCAGTGGGGCTGACCCCCTTCTATGGGGCGGGTCAGTGGGGCTGACCCCCATCTATGGGGCGGGTCAGTGGGGCTGACACCCATCTATGGGGCGGGTCAGTGGGGCTGACACCCATCTATGGGGCGGGTCAGTGGGGCTGACCCCCATCTATGGGGCGGATCAGTGGGGCTGACCCCCTTCTATGGGGCGGGTCTGTGGGGCTGACCCCCATCTATGGGGCGGGTCAGTGGCGGCTGACCCCCATCTATGGGGTGGGTCTGTGGGGCTGACCCCCATCTATGGGGCGGGTCAGTGGCGGCTGACCCCCATCTATGGGGCGGATCAGTGGGGCTGACCCCCATCTATGGGGTGGGTCAGTGGGGGGTGACCCCTATCTACGGGGCAGCTCCCCCTGACCCGCGGGTGCTGCAGGGGTGGTGCTGGGCTGGGGGCTGCAGGGCCGCACCCCGGGGTCCCCCCGCGCCTTTGCCTTCGCCGCGCTGCTCCTGCCACTCAGCGCCCTCATCCTGCGCTGGGTCCTGAGCGCTGCCGGGTTCGACGTCGACTGGTGAGTGCTGGGTGGGGTAAGCCCCACCTCCTGCCCCACAGCCACCCCCCAGTGCTTGTTGCAGGGGGCTTGGGGGCTTCCCCTCTCTGGTGCCCCTAAGGGCAGCTTCCACCACTGAGGCCTGAAGCCCTGGCCAGGTAAGTCCTGCCCCATGGACAGGGGTTCCAGATGGTGTGTTCACACGTAAATGTGGGCCCCATGTCCCGTAGATGGGACCTGCCCCATAGAGAGGGGTTCCAACCCCATAGATGTGGGTCCTGGCCCCAAAGATGGTAGTTTCACCCATAGACGGGCTTCCTAGCCACATGGCACCCTACAGTCTCCCTGCCCTAGGTCAAGTCACCTGGCCACACAGTGGTGCTCCAGCCCCACAGCTGTATCCCAGCCCCACAGCTGTATCCCAGCCCCACATCTATGTGTCCCGCCCCACAGCTGCTCTCCCCCACAGGTCCATCCCCCTGGCCACGCAGTGGTGCTCCAGCCCCACAGCTGTACCCCAGCCCCACATCTATGTGTCCCGCCCACAGCTGTATCCCAGCCCCACATCTATGTGTCCCGCCCACAGCTGTACCCCAGCCCCATATCCATGTGTCCCGCCCCACAGCTGCTCCCCCCCCCCAGCTCCATCCCCCCGGCCTCGCAGTGGTGCTCCAGCCCCACAGCTGTATCCCAGCCCCACATCTATGTGTCCCGCCCACAGCTGTATCCCAGCCCCACATCTATGTGTCCCGCCCACAGCTGTATCCCAGCCCCACATCTATGTGTCCCGCCCACAGCTGTATCCCAGCCCCACATCTATGTGTCCCGCCCACAGCTGTATCCCAGCCCCACATCTATGTGTCCCGCCCACAGCTGTACCCCAGCCCCATATCCATGTGTCCCGCCCCACAGCTGCTCCCCCCCCCAGCTCCATCCCCCCTGGCCTCGCAGTGGTGCTCCAGCCCCACAGCTGTATCCCAGCCCCACATCTATGTGTCCCGCCCCACAGCTGTATCCCAGCCCCACAGCTGTACCCCAGCCCCACAGCTGTATCCCAGCCCCACATCTATGTGTCCCGCGCCACAGCTGTATCCCAGCCCCACAGCTGTACCCCAGCCCCATATCCATGTGTCCCGCCCACAGCTGTACCCCAGCCCCATATCCATGTGTCCCGCCCCACAGGTGTATCCCAGCCCCATATCCATGTGTCCCGCCCCACAGCTGCTCCCCCCCAGCTCCATCCCCCCGGCCTCGCAGTGGTGCTCCAGCCCCACAGCTGTACCCCAGCCCCACATCTATGTGTCCCGCCCACAGCTGTATCCCAGCCCCACATCTATGTGTCCCATCCCACAGCTGTACCCCAGCCCCACAGCTGTACCCCAGCCCCATATCCATGTGTCCCGCCCACCCCACAGCTGCTCCCCCCCCCAGCTCCATCCCCCCGGCCTCGCAGCGATGCTCCCGCCCCATAGCAGCGTCCCCGCCCCACATCCGTGGGTCGCTCCCCGCAGCCGCTCCGTGTCCCCCCAGGTCCCTCCTCCTCGCCGCCCGTTGGTGCTCCAGCCCCGCCTGGCTCCGCCCGGACTCGCGGCCCCTGGCCTCGCTGTGGCGGGACGCGGGCTCCGCGCTGGGGCTGGCGCTGGCGGCCGCGGCTCCCGCTCCGCGCCTGGGCCCGTGGCCGCGCTTGGCCGGGGCCGGGGCCGCGGTGGCCGCGCTCCAGGGGCTGCAGCGGCTGCGGGAGCCGCGGGACCCCGCGCTCTGCTCCGGGAGCTGCGCGCTCCGCGCCGCCGTGGGGCCCTGGCTCGTGGGCTCGGCGCTGCCGCGGCTCCTCGCGGGGCTCAGCCGCGCCCCACACCGCGAGTAGCGACCCCCAAGTGTGGGGCGGGGGGGGGGCACCCCATTTGTAACCAAATAAAGGCTGTTACCGACCGGACCCCGCCTCCGTCAGTGCCATGGGGACACGGGGGGCGCCAAGGCGGTGCCCCCCCCCCCGCAGTTCTATTGCCAGAACCCGTTTATTTCTCCGAGGACGTGGTACAAAACAGGGACCCGGACCCACAGCGAGTGGAGCCCCCAACACCCCCCCCAACGGAGCTGTGGGGCGCTGGGAGCCCCCCATTGAACGGGGACAGGCCCAGGGCCCCTCCCACGGGGGGTGGGGGGGGACACTGGGACCCCCATCTCCGCCGCACCCCCCCCCCCATGTGGGCCCCCCGATAAAAAAATACTATTAAATAATACATCTGTAATAAAATTATATCCTTTGATGGGGGGGGGGGGAAGTGATGGGAAAGGTGAGCGGGATGAACCCGTCTGGGGGGTTCCCTTCTTCCCTCCGTGAACAACAAAGGTTTATCTCAAGGAAGGTGCCAGCATCCATCACCCATCCCCATGGATCCCTCACCCATCCCTATGGATCCATCACCCATCCCTATGGATCCCTCACCCATCCCCATGGATCCCTCACCCATCCCTATGGATCCATCACCCATCCCTATGGATCCCTCACCCATCCCCATGGATCCCTCACCCATCCCCATGGATCCCTCACCCATCCCCATGGATCCCTCGCCCATCCCCATGGATCCCTCACCCATACCCATGGATCAATCACCCATCCCTATGGATCCATCACCCATCCCCATGGATCCCTCACCCATCCCTATGGATCCATCACCCAACATCCCCAGGATCCATCACCCATCCCCATGGATCCCTCACCCATCCCCATGGATCCCTCACCCATCCCTATGGATCCATCACCCAACATCCCCAGGATCCCTCACCCATCCCTATGGATCCATCACCCATCCCCATGGATCCCTCACCCATCCCTATGGATCCATCACCCAACATCCCCAGGATCCCTCACCCATCCCTATGGATCCCTCACCCATCCCTATGGATCCATCACCCATCCCTATGGATCCCTCACCCATCCCCATGGATCCCTCACCCATCCCTATGGATCCCTCACCCATACCCATGGATCCCTCACCCAACATCCCCATGGATCCCTCACCCATCCCTATGGATCCATCACCCAACATCCCCATGGATCCCTCACCCATCCCTATGGATCCCTCACCCATCCCTATGGATCCCTCACCCATCCCCATGGATCCCTCACCCATCCCTATGGATCCCTCACCCATACCCATGGATCCCTCACCCAACATCCCCATGGATCCCTCACCCATCCCTATGGATCCATCACCCAACATCCCCATGGATCCCTCACCCATCCCCATGAATCCCTCACCCATCCCTATGGATCCCTCACCCATCCCCATGGATCCATCACCCAACATCCCCAGGATCCCTCACCCATCCCTATGGACCCATCACCCATCCCCATAGATCCATCACCCATCCCCATGGATCCCTCACCCATCCCTATGGATCCCTCACCCATACCCATGGATCCATCACCCACTATGGATCCCTCACCCATACCCATGGATCAATCACCCATCCCTATGGATCCATCACCCATCCCTATGGATCCATCACCCATCCCCATGGATCCATCACCCAACATCCCCAGGATCCCTCACCCATCCCTATGGATCCCTCACCCATCCCCATGGATCCATCACCCAACATCCCCAGGATCCCTCACCCATCCCCATGGATCCATCACCCAACATCCCCAGCATCCATCACCCATCCCTATGGATCCCTCACCCATCCCTATGGATCCCTCACCCATCCCTATGGATCCATCACCCAAAATCCCCAGGATCCCTCACCCATCCCTATGGATCCCTCACCCATCCCTATGGATCCCTCACCCATCCCTATGGATCCATCATCTCCGGGGGTGACCGAGGGGCATGGACAAGGGTGCGAAAGGAAAACTAAAGGAAGTAGATGGAGACCCCCCCCCCAAATCCCAGGAAATTTAAGGCATGAAACCAAAACCCACCGGAGCAAATGGAAGGCACAAAATTCCCATCGGCTCCTCCCGGGATGGGGGAGAACGAGGGAGAAAACAAGGGAAAGACCCTCAGAGCGGGACAGGAGCCGGGGGGGTGATGGGACACAATGGGATCCAATGGGACACAATGGGATCCAATGGGACACAATGGGATCCAATGGGACACAATGGGATCCAATGGGACACAATGGACACAATGGGGGGGAGATCTGAACTCGGGGGGGTGGTGGGGAGGGGGGTGGATTTTTTTTGTCCTTTTCTGCCTTTTTTAATAGAAAAAGAAAATATTTTCCTCTTTTTTTCCCACTTTTCTGCCCAATTCCCACTTTTTTTTTTGTCTTTTTCTGCGTTTTTCCAGGTGGTTTTTGGGGATTCCCGGGGTTTGCTCCGGCTCGGTCACAGCGCGGGCTCTGCCTCCATCGGCTCCTCGGCTGGCCTGGGAGAGCGGGAATGCTGGGATCCGGCACCGGGATGCGGCTGCGCCCCCTCCGCGGGACACAGCGGGGAGCGGAGCCACGCGTGTGGGTCCATGAGGATGCACGTGTACGGGTCCATGCATCCCCCAGGAACACGCATCCCACCGAGGACATGCGGGGCTCCATGCACAGCCAGCACATGCGTGACCATGCACACATTTCTGCACACGCTGTCACACACTGCACACGTGTCTGCACACGCCAACACACGTGTCCGTGCACACACCATCACACGTGTCTCTGCACACATGACCATGCACATGCCATCACACACGCTATCACACGTGTGACACCATGCACACCCTATTACACACGTCCCTGCATAAGCTATCACACATGAGCATGCACACACTATCACATGTACCCATGCACACGTGTCTATGCACATGCTATCACACGTGCCCATGCACACGCTATCACACATGCCCATGCACACGCTATCACACGTGCCCATGCACACACTATCACATGTATCCACACACACGTGTCCTTTCACATGCTATCACCTGTATCCATGCACATGCTATCACACACGTGTCCCTGCACACGCTATCACACACGTGTCCCTGCACACGCTCTCACCTGTATCCATGCACACGCTCTCACACACGTGTCCCTGCACACGCTATCACCTGTATCCATGCACACGCTCTCACACACGTGTCCCTGCACATGCTATCACCTGTATCCATGCACACGCTATCACCTGTGTCCATGCACACGCTATCACACACGTGTCCCTGCACACGCTCTCACACACGTGTCCCTGCACACGCTATCACCTGTATCCATGCACACGCTATCACCTGTGTCCATGCACACGCTATCACACACGTGTCCCTGCACACGCTCTCACCTGTATCCATGCACACGCTCTCACACACGTGTCCCTGCACACGCTCTCACACACGTGTCCCTGCACACGCTCTCACCTGTATCCATGCACACGCTATCACCTGTATCCATGCACACGCTATCACCTGTATCCATGCACACGCTATCACACACGTGTCCTTGCACACGCTATCACCTGTATCCATGCACACGCTCTCACACACGTGTCGGGGCCGTACCTGGGCCGGGTGTCGCCGCTCCCCTGCTCTGCCCCCACCGAGAGCTGGGCCATGGCCGAGAGCGCCTCTGCCTCCGCGTCCCCCCCAGCGCTGAGCCACGGGGCCCCCCCACGCTTCAGAGAGCCCCAGTGCCGGCCTGCGACAGAGACGGGGCCCGTGGGGCACCCCCACAGACACCTCCTATGGGGCACCCGTGGCAGGGACACCCCCACAGACACCTCCTATGGGGCACCCGTGGCAGGGACACCCCCACAGACACCTCCTATGGGGCACCCGTGGCAGAGACACCCCCACAGACACCTCCTATGGGGCACCGGCGGCAGGGACACCCCCACAGACACCTCCTATGGGGCACCCGTGGCAGAGACACCCCCCCGGTGAGGAAAGCCCCGGGGGTTCCCCCATGCCCCCATAGGGCTCACTCTGGATCTCGATGACTTTCTCCAGCGCGGCCGCCGCGTTCACGTTCGGTTTCTGCTGCAGCAAGGACGGGTCCAGCGGCTCCAGCTGGGGGGGCACCACGTGAGGACCCCAGCACCCCCCCACCCAGCAATGGGGTGTCCCATTGGGGATGTCTGCGGGTCCCATGGCGGGGGGGGGTCACACAGGGGGTCCCACAGGTGGTGGTGGGGATCCCATGGATGGGTGTGGGATGTCCCATGGGAGGTGGGGGGTGTCCCCATTGGTTTCATGGGGGTCCCCCTAGGTGGTGGTGGGGGTCCCGGGGGGGGGTTGTCGCATGGATGTGGGGGTGTCCCGGGGGGGATGTCCCGTATGGGCCCCATGGGGGTGCCCGGGTACCTCCAAGCCCAGCAGGGCGCTCACGCAGGCCTCGGAGGCGTCACAGATGGCGGTGAGGTCGTGCCCCCCCTCGAGCGCCAGCACCACGCGTCCCCCCGCCAGCATCATCAGCTGCTTCGTGAGGTGCCCGAAGCCTGGGGGGGGCACGGGGGGGTGACATCGAGCCCTGAGAACCCCCCCATAGCCCCCCCGTGCCCCCCCCGCCCCGCTCACACTTGGCGCTCACGGAGTAGCCCCCCAGGGGTGAGAGGTGCCCCTCAACGGCGTCGAACCCGGCTGAGACCAGCACCAGCTCCGGGCAGAACTCGCTGGCCACCGGCATCACCACGGTCCTGGGCACAGGCACAGGGGGACCCCCGGGTGCAGGGACCCCCCCCAGGACACGGGGATCCCCCAGGGAACAGGGACCCCCCTCCTAGGACACCGGGACCCCACTCCCAATGATGCAGGGACCCCCTTAATGATGCAGGGACCTCACTCAGGACATAAAAGGAACCCCCAAGGGTGCAGGGACCCAATAGGACACAATGACACCCAGGGTGCAGGGACCCAATAGGACACAATGACACCCAGGGTGCAGGGACCCAATAGGACACAATGACACCCAGGGTGCAGGGACCCAATAGGACACAATGACACCCCAGGGTGCAGGGACCCAACAGGACACAATGACACCCCAAGGGTGCAGGGACCCAATAGGACACAATGACACCCAGGGTGCAGGAACCCAATAGGACACAATGACACCCCAAGGGTGCAGGGACCCAATAGGACACAATGACACCCCAAGGGTGCAGGGACCCAATAGGACACAATGACACCCCAGGGTGCAGGAACCCAATAGGACACAATGACACCCCAAGGGTGCAGGGACCCAACAGGACACAATGACACCCCAGGGTGCAGGGACCCAATAGGACACAATGACACCCAGGGTGCAGGGACCCAATAGGACACAATGACACCCCAGGGTGCAGGGACCCAATAGGACACAATGACACCCCAGGGTGCAGGGACCCAATAGGACACAATGACACCCCAGGGTGCAGGGACCCAATAGGACACAATGACACCCAGGGTGCAGGGACCCAATAGGACACAATGACACCCAGGGTGCAGGGACCCAATAGGACACAATGACACCCCAGGGTGCAGGGACCCAATAGGACACAATGACACCCAGGGTGCAGGGACCCAATAGGACACAATGACACCCAGGGTGCAGGGACCCAATAGGACACAATGACACCCCAGGGTGCAGGGACCCAATAGGACACAATGACACCCCATGGTGCAGGGACCCCCCAAGGGCATAGGGAGACCCCAGCGGTGCAAGGAACCCTGGCAGGGTACAGGGACCCCTCCTAGGACACAAGCATCTGCCCAGGACATGGGGACACCCCCCAGGGCACAGGGACCCCCCAAAGACACAGGGACCCCCCAAGGGCCTGCCCCCCCCGACACAGCCCCCTGCTCACCTGAAGGCAGTCAGATATTCCACATCCCCAATGGGGGGGTCCACCCCCCCGGTCCAGGCGATGTTGATGTTGAAGCCCACCCCCATTCCGCTGCCCACCTAAGCACAGCGCGGTCACCCCCTGCCGCTGGTACAACACAGGGTGACCCCCCCACCAATAGGGACCCCCCCCCCGGTACCTCCTCAGGGGCGCCGCTGCCAGGGAAGAAGTTGCCATCGTCGTAACGGTGCAGGGAGATGTAGAGCACGGCCGGGTCGCTGTAGAACGCCTGCTGGGTGCCATTGCCGTGGTGGATGTCCTGGGGGGGACACAGCACGTCAGGGACCCCCCAGCACCCCTGCGACCCCTCGCCATGGGGGGGCCTTACCCAGTCTACGATGAGGATCCTGCTCACGCTGAGCTTCTGCTGCAGCAGCTTGGCCGAGATGGCCACCGAGTTGAAGAAGCAGAAGCCCCTGGGGGGGGCACGGTCAGTGCTGGGGGGGATCCCTGACAGCCCCAACACCGCCCCCCCGTGTCCCTGCACTCACATGGCCGTGGACTCCTCGGCGTGGTGCCCCGGTGGGCGGATGACAGCGAAGCCATTCTGAGGGGACACAGGGACACGCGTGTGACATGTGCGGTGCGTGACACGTGTGGTGCGTGTGACATGTGCGGTGCGTGACACGTGTGGTGCGTGTGACACGTGTGGTGCGTGTGACACGTGTGGTGCGTGACACGTGTGTGGTGCGTGTGACACGTGTGGTGCGTGTGACACGTGTGGTGTGTGTGACACGTGTGGTGCGTGTGACATGTGTGGTGCGTGACACGTGTGTGGTGCGTGTGACACGTGTGGTGCGTGTGACACGTGTGGTGCATGACACGTGTGTGGTGCGTGTGACACGTGTGGTGCGTGTGACACGTGTGGTGCGTGACACATGTGGTGCGTGTGACACGTGTGGTGCATGACACGTGGGGTGCGTGTGACACGTGTGCTGCGTGACACACGTGGTGCGTGACACGCGTGTGGTGCGTGTGACATGTGTGGTGCGTGACACGCGTGTGGTGCGTGGGACACGTGTGGTGCGTGGGACACGTGTGGTGCGTGTGACACGTGTGGTGCGTGACACGTGTGGCGCGTGACACGCATGTGGTGCGTGTGACACGTGTGGTGCGTGACACACATGTGGTGCGTGTGACACGTGTGGTGCGTGACACGTGTGACATGGGCACATGACACATCTGTGCCAGGGTGTGCACAAGGGCTGCTCTGAGCGTGCACACGTGTGAGGTATACATGTGCAGGCACACACATGATGAATGTATGTGCTGTCATGCATGCACACATGTGATGTATGCACAGGGCACACACGCTTGCTGCCACGCACACGTGCTTGAGACCCATCACAGACACCAGTGAGTGTGAGCTTGCACAGGGGCTGTTGCACCACCAGGCAAGCATGCACAAGAGCAGTGCAAGGGCACGCGAGGACCATCACACGCACAGGTAAGCACACAAGTGAGCTCCATGCATGCAGAAGCGTGCATAAGGACCATTGCACAAGCGTGGTGCACGCACATGGCACACACATGGATGGTGCACACAATGCACACGCATGGTGCACACAGAAGGTGAACACAGATGGTGCACGATACACATGAATGATACACACGCATGGTGCACACGGGAGGTGAACATGGTGCACGCGGATGGTGCACATGATACACATGAATGATGCATACAATGCACACACATGGTGCACATGGGAGGTGAACACAGTGCACACGGATGGTGCACACGATACACATGAATGATGCACACAATGCACACAGATGATGCACATGCACACACGGATGATGTATACACACACACATGGATGATGTACACACACATCCATGCATGTGGATGGTAAACATGACGCACACATGCATGGTGCACACATGGATGGTGCACACAATGCACAAGGATGATGCACACGATGCACATAATGGATGATGCATAGGTTGCACACATATGGCGCGCACGATGTACACAATGCACTCATGGATGATGCACATGTATGGTGCACATGATGCACACACAGATGACGTGCACACGGATGTGCACACAATGCACACACGGAACATGCACACACACACGGATGATGCACACACACGGATAATGCCCATGCACACACAGATTATGCACACACACACACACAGATGGTGCACACACGGATGATGCACACCCACATGATGCACACACACAGTGGATGATGCACACACACGCACACACACGATGCACACACACACATGGATGATGCACACCCACATGATGCAAACACACACAGATGATGCACACACACATGATACACACGCATGCACAGATGATGCACACATGCACGGATGATGCACACACGCACGCACGGATGATGCACACACGCACACACGGATGATGCACACGCACGCACAGATGATGCACACGCATGCACGGATGATGCACACGCACGCATGGATGATGCACACACGCACACACGGAGGATGCACACACGCACGCACGATGCACACGCACGCATGGATGATGCACACACGCACGGATGATGCACACACGCACGCACGGATGATGCACACACGCACGCACGGATGATGCACACACGCACGCACAGATGATGCACACACACGCACGGATGATGCACACACGCACACAGGGATGATGCACACACGCACAGATGATGCACACACGCACGCACGGATGATGCACACACGCACACAGGGATGATGCACACACGCACAGATGATGCACACACACGCACAGATGATGCACACATGCACACAGGGATGATGCACACACGCACAGATGATGCACACACGCACGGATGATGCACACACACACGCACGGATGATGCACACACACGCACGGATGATGCACACACGCACACAGGGATGATGCACACACACACGCACAGATGATGCACACACGCACGCACGGATGATGCACACACACGCACGGATGATGCACACACGCACACAGGGATGATGCACACACGCACAGATGATGCACACACGCACACACGGACGATGCACACACACATGGATGATGCACACACACACACATGGATGATGCACACACGCATACAGGGATGATGCACACAGGCACAGATGATGCACACACGCACACAGGGATGATGCACACACGCACAGATGATGCACACACGCACACAGGGATGATGCACACACGCACACATGGATGATGCACACACGCACGCAGGGATGATGCACACACGCACACAGGGATGATGCACACACGCACAGATGATGCACACACGCACACATGGATGATGCACACACGCACGCAGGGATGATGCACACACGCACAGATGATGCACACACGCACACATGGATGATGCACACACGCAGGGATGATGCACACACGCAGGGATGATGCACACACGCACGCAGGGATGATGCACACACACCCCCACGCACTCCCACACTCACTGCTCTCGCTCACCTGGATCTCCCCGGCCGCCACCTTGAAGGCGAGCTCGAGCAGGCAGCCCACGGCCGTGCGCACGGCGCTGGGCGAGTGCAGCTCGTTCCACACCGTGTCGCTGTCCACCTGCGGGGGCACGGGGGGGTCACACCGGGACACGGGGACACCCGGACCCCCCTGCTGCAGGGACTCACCCCGATGCCGCCGCACGGCAGCACCGCGTACGTCTTCTGGGTGATGGGACCTGCGGGATGGAGCGGGGTGATGGGGGCGATGGGGACAGCGCAGGGGTCTGTCCCCCCCCGTCCCCCCCCCCCCAAAATGGGGACCCCCCAGCTCCTACCCAGCAGCTTCTTGCTGTCGAGCTTCTGGCGGTTGAGGGGGCTGGTGCCATAGAGCAGCGCGTGGTGCTCCGAGTGCACCGTCTGGATCTCCTCCAGCGTCGCCTTCCTGCCCCGGATGCGCTGGGAGGGATGCAGGGAACGGGGTGACCCCCGCCCACGTAAAGGGGATGATAAGGGAGGGCCCCCCCGCGCCGTCCTCACCTCGCACTTGCCCAGCAGCCCCGTCTCCTGCAGCCGGGACCAGATGCTCTGGATGCGGCCGGCGTGCTCGGGGTGGATGTTGGTGTTCCCGCACGTGCACTGGTGCTTCAGCATGAAGGTGTCGTACACCAGCCCTGCGGGGCACCGGGATCCAATGGGACAGCAGGATCCAATGGGATATGGGGAACCCCGGGCACCACAAGGGATGGAGAACCCCATAAAACACAGGGATCAGATGGGACATGGGGAGCCAATGGGAACCCCAGGCACCCCAAGGGGTGGGGAACCCCATAGAACACAGGGATCCAATGCGATATGGGGATTCAATGGGACATGAGAGACCCCAAATACCGCAATAATACCCATATAACCATGTAATACCGTAATGTACGCGTATAACACAGAGATCCAATGGACATAGGGATCCAATGGCACACACGGAATCCTGGGCACCCCAAGGGATGGAAAACCCCATATGATACAGGGATCCCACAGGACACAGGGAATCCATGCATAGGGACTCAATGGGACACGGGGAACCCCAGGTACCCCAAAGGATGGGGAAACCTGTGGGAGAGGAGGACCCAGTGGGACATGGGCACTCCAGGACACCCTGAGGGATGGGGCACCTCATGGGACATGGGGATCCCATGGGATAGGGGGAGCCCAAGGCACCCCAACAGATGGGAGCACCAGGGGACAGAAGGATCCTATGGACCCCTATGGCTCCTATGGGACAGGGGGGTCCCTGGCAATGGGCACCCCAAGGGCTGGGCCCCCCTGTACCTGTGCTGAAGCGGAGCTGGGGGCCCCCGTCGGGCTGGAGGGGCTGGGTGCTGGGGGGGGACGAGTGCGTGCGGGCGAGCGCCGGGTGTGGCAGCGCCAGCAGTGCCGGGGGGGGCCTGGGAACAGCGGCACCGGCGCCTCAGGAAGCATCTGGGGGGGGGATCTCCGTTAGAGACCCCCCCATCAGCACTGGGATCCCCATCATAACCCCCCCATCAGCACTGGGATCCCCATCATAACCCCCCCATCAGCACTGGGATCCCCATCATAACCCCTCCATCAGCACTGGGATCCCCATCATAACCCCCCCATCAGCACTGGGATCCCCATCATAACCCCCCCATCAGCACTGGGATCCCCATCATAACCCCCCCATCAGCACTGGGATCCCCATCATAACCCCCCCATCAGCACTGGGATCCCCATCATAACCCCCCATCAGCACTGGGATCCCCATCATAACCCCTCCATCAGCACTGGGATCCCCATCATAACCCCTCCATCAGCACTGGGATCCCCATCACAACCCCCCCATCAGCACTGGGATCCCCATCATAACCCCCCATCAGCACTGGGATCTCCATCATAACCCCTCCATCAGCACCGAGACCTCCATGAGACCTCCCCTCCATCAGCACTGGGATCCCCATCATAACCCCCCCATCAGCACTGGGATCCCCATCATAACCCCCCCATCAGCACTGGGATCCCCATCATAACCCCCCATCAGCACTGGGATCCCCATCATAACCCCTCCATCAGCACTGGGATCCCCATCATAACCCCCCATCAGCACTGGGATCCCCATCATAACCCCCCATCAGCACTGGGATCCCCATCATAACCCCTCCATCAGCACTGGGATCCCCATCATAACCCCTCCATCAGCACTGGGATCCCCATCACAACCCCCCCATCAGCACTGGGATCCCCATCATAACCCCCCATCAGCACTGGGATCTCCATCATAACCCCTCCATCAGCACCGAGACCTCCATGAGACCCCCCCTCCATCAGCACTGGGATCCCCATCATAACCCCCCCATCAGCACTGGGATCCCCATCATAACCCCCCCATCAGCACTGGGATCCCCATCATAACCCCCCCATCAGCACTGGGATCCCCATCATAACCCCCCCATCAGCACTGGGCCCCCCCGGCTCTCACCTGCTGGAAGGGGCCCCCCAGCTCGGGGCCATCGGGCTCGTCCCCGCTGCCTCCCGGCTCCTCAGGGTCCCGGGGGGGGTCCGAGGGCAGCGGGGAGGGCTCCTGGTCCTGCGGGGGGGGCGACTGCTGCTCCGTCAGCTCCTCCTCTGTCTCCTCGCGGTGCGTGGGGGGGGGCCGCGGGAGCTCCCCAGCCTTGGGCAGCAGCTGTGGGGGGGCACAGTGACCCATGGTGCCGTATAGCACCCATAGTACCCCACAGTGCCCCATAGCACCCCATCGCAACCCACAGCACCCCACAGCAACCCACAGCACTCCATAGCACCCCATCGCAACCCACAGCAACCCACAGCACTCCATAGCACCCCATAGCAACCCACAGCACCCCATAGCAACCCACAGCACTCCACAGCACCCCATAGCAACCCACAGCACCCCATAACACCCCACAGCAACCCACAGCACCCCATAGCAACCCACAGCACTCCACAGCAGCCCATAGCAACCCACAGCACTCCACAGCACCCCACAGCACCCCATAGCACTCCACAGCACCCCATAGCAACCCACAGCAACCCACAGCACCCCATAGCGCTCCATAAACGCCTCATAGCACTCCATAGCACCCCACAGTGTTCCATAGCACCCTATAAGTACCCCACAGCGTCCCATAAACGCCCCACAGCGCTCCGTAGCACCCCATAAGCACCCATAGCACCACACAGCGCCCCACAGGCACGCCACAGCGCCCCGCAGCCCCACCTTGCCGAGCGGGACCTGCTGCTTGTCGAGGAAGTGGTGCTGGAGGGCGCCGTGGGGCAGCGCCTGCGGGCTCTGGGGCAGCGGGGACGACTGCGTGCGGCTGAGGGGCCGGTGCCGCGGCAGCTTCGGCACCGCCCGCACGGAGCCCGCGCGGTCCCCGGGGCCCAGCGCGGGGCGGGCGTGGATCGGGACTGCGGGAGAGGGGGCGGTGAGGGCCGGGGGGGCGGCGCGGGGGTCCCGGTCCGTGCCCCACTCACCCGCCAGGAGCCCGCTCTGCTGCCGCGCCTGTTCCAGCAGCAGCACCCGCTGCAGCAGCGACCCGGGGCCGGCCGCGGGGTCCCCGTCCAGGGCCGCTCCCCCGCCCAGCAGCGAGGGGGCGCTCAGGAGCTGCGCGGGCAGCGCGGGGCGCAGCGCGGGGGGGGCGCGCTCGGGCTCCACCTGCGGGGCAGAGTCAGTGCCCCCCCCCCCCCCCATGGGGTCCCCGCATTGACCCCCTGAGCCCCCCGGGCCCTGCGCCACCCACACTGGGGGTCCGCACCCCCCCCCCAAGTCCCTGTGCCTCTGCCGTGGGTCCCCATCCCACCCTATGGGATCCCAGGTCCCTCAGCCCCACTACCGGTTCCCACAGCAACCCTATGGAATTCCTACACCAGACCCCCCCCCCCCCCCCCCATAGTGTCCTAGGTCCCCCTGAGTCCCCATAGCAACCCCATGGATCCCAGGTCTCCATGCCCCCACCGAGGGGCTCCCCATACCAACCCTATGGGGTCCCAGCTCCCACCCAATGGGGTCCCTACCCCCCACGATGTTCCATGCCCCCCTATGGGTCCCCATAGCAACCCAATCAGGTCCCTGTCACCCCCCCCATAGGGTCCCCTATTGATGCTATGTCCCCCCCCGACCCCGGGTGCTGCTCACAGGGAGAGGGGGGCCGGGCCCCGGCAGCCCCAGGGAGATGTTGGGCAGCGACGGGGACGTGTAGAGGCTGAGCTGGGGCACGGCATCGAGGGGCAGCGGCCGGGGCTGCGGCAGGAGCTGCTGCGGGGACACGCCAGGGACACGCCATTGACACACCATCAACATGCCACTGACATGCCCTTGACACACCATCAACACGCCATTGACATGCCATCAACATGCCATTAACACGCCGTTAACATGCCCCTGACATGGCATCGACACGCCATTGACACGCCATCAACATGCCATTGACACGCCATCAACATGCCATGGACACATGCCATCGACAAGCCACTGACACACCACGGACATGCAATTGACACACCATGGACACGCCAGCAGTATGCTATTGACATGCCAGTGACAGGTCAGCAACACGTCATTAACACGTTACTGACACACCACTGACATGCACACACCCAAATACATGTGTGAAAGCACCAAATGCATACATGGAACATGATGCATGCATGCACAACACATACCAATGGCTGGATGCATCTGAACACGTGGACACCCTGAGCATGCTAACAGCACACGCGTGCACATGCTCACTCACATGACACACACTTGTACATGTCGCTCACATGATGCACACACATACACGTTGCTCACATGGCACATATGTGTACATGTTGCTCACAACACGTGCACACCCTCACTCACATGACACACACATGTACACGTGTTGCTCACATGACGTGCACATATACATATTGCTCACATGACACACATAGGCACACCCTCGCTCACGACATATGAGCACATCGCTCACATGATGCATGTATGTCGCTCAGATAACACACATGTACATGTCGCTCACAGGACACACGTGCATGTGTCGCTCACATGATGCACACGTGTACATGTTGCTCACATGACATACATGCACACCCTCGCTCGCATGACACACGTGTACATGTCGCTCACATGATGCATGTAGGTCACTCACATGATGCACGTACGTCACTCACATGATGCACACGTGTGTGTGCAGCTCACGATGCACAGGCATACATGTCGCTCACATGACGCACACATTTACACACGACACACACGTGTACACATCGCACACATGACACACACATGTACGCGTTGCTCGCATGACGCACACATGTACATGTTGCTCACATGATGCATACATGTATGTGTCGCTCACATGACGCACACGTGCACACACGTGTGTGGCCGTACCTGCGCGGGGATGTTGGGCACGGAGCCCGTGAGCCCGTTCTCGGCACTGGGGGAGCTGTTGGGGGAGCTGGGCCCGGAGCCGGGGGCGCTGCTGCTGCTGCTCACGGAGCACACTGCGGGGGGAACGCGTGTGTTACACACGTTACAGGAGTGCACACACAGCACACCCGCGCACGTTACATACGTGTGCACAAGTATGTGCAGGCACACGCAACCACAGGCGTGCAGATGTGCTGAGCAAGCATGAATGTGCACAAGCACACACGTGCACACGTGCCGCAGGAGCTGGGAGCAGGAGGGGGACACTGGCACCCATGATCCCATCATTCCCACGGCTCCCATCACTTCCATGACTCTCACCATTCCCAAGGCTCCAATGGCTCTCATCACTCCAACAGCTCCCAGCACTCCCACGGCTTCCATGGGCTCCCATCACACCCATCACCCCCATAGCTCCCTTTGCTCCCAAGGCTCCCATTTCTCTCATCACCCTCACGGCTCCCATTCTCCCGTTCCTGCTCACCCGTGATCTCCACGGTTCTCTTCCTGCAGGCGCTGAGCACGGCTCCGTCCTTCCTGCGCAGCAAGGGGCTGCTCCGGCGCTCGGCCACCTTCTGCTTCAGCCGGGAGCGAACCTTCAGGTTGGGCTCCGACGCTGGGGGGGGCACACATCAGCCAGGGGGGGCCTGTATCCCAGCATCCCCGTATCCCTGCATCCCCGTATCCCTGCATCCCCGTATCCCTGCATCCCCGTATCCCTGCATCCCCGTATCCCTGCATCCCCGTATCCCTGCATCCCCCTATCCCTGCATCCCCCTATCCCTGCATCCCCCTATCCCTGCATCCCCCTATCCCTGCATCCCCGTATCCCTGCATCCCCCTATCCCTGCATCCCCCTATCCCTGCATCCCCA